TGTCAGCATCTGGGGGTGGGCAGTTTGAGGACCACTTCCTATTAGCCTCTGTTACCACTAGGTCGGGCGACAGCAAGGTGCTGACCATTACTTTACAGTGATCTGTCCTCTCCTGGCCTTGGGACCATGGTCTGTTATTCACTTTCACTTTTGTCACATCCACCAGTCCTTTCAGGCCTGGAGCCAACACCCACCTTTCCTGAAGCCCTTCCCACACCTCCCAGCCGGACATAACTGCTTCATCCCCTGCATTCCTGGGGTTCCTTGTATTTGCTAGATGTCATCCCTCCCCATCTTGTGTTCTTAAAATGCTCATTCCCCCCTTAATAAGCACAAATCCCCTGTAGGCGGGCGTTTGGCCTGACAGCCCTTGGCTTTTCCCAGCAAGACCAACCCTGTGTTAGGGGAGATATTTGTTCCATAAAAGAGTGAATTGGAGCAAGCTGTAGGAAGGTTTCTGTTTTCCTGCTCCTCACCAAGACCTCAGAGCAATCAAGGTGAGGTGTTTAGGGGTGAGAGATATGGGAGCAGGGAGCAAGCTACCGTATTTATAGGTGAGTCATGCTTTCCAAAGGAAATAAAAGATTTGCAGTTATTACTACTCTGCAAAGCTTTATTTTCCCACTTACAGGTCAGCCCTCCAATTCTGCAATCTGAAAAAATCACAAAAATCAAGTGCCACATGCAAGGCAGTCTCCACGGTCTGAGTGGCTATTTTTAGGTTGTCGTAACGTGGTTTTGTCTGGGCAGTGCTTCTCCAGCTCTGAGTTACTGCCATTTTTCTGACTCATGTTTGCTTCTCACACTCAGTCTGGCCTCGGCCCATATTCTTTACCTCATTCCTGCTAGGCTGTTTCCCTATTTGACCATCCAAACTGGCATGCCTAACAGCTGGCCCACGGCCACTTCCCTGAAACATCTCCCCAGATAGACACAGTTTGTGGAATCTTGTTGCTGGCCATCTGTGGCTGGGAGGGCCCATGGGCCCCAGAGCCTTGCGTAAGGGTAGATACAGCATGCCACAGAGTGGGAGAGCCCACAGTTGGGATGGATGGGCAGAGAGAAGGAAGTTTCAGCCCGTGGGACAGCAGATGGGCATAGTCGCTTCGTTCTAGCAAAAATGGAGCCCAACGAGCCAGATGCTGATTTAGGACCTCATCGAGGATAAGGAGATCCAAATCCCAAACCACTTCAGCTCCCCACCGGGGCCCACCCAGCATGTTCCTGCTGGTGACGGGTCTCTGCCCCTCCCTTCCCTTGCTCCCTTTTAGCTTTAACACTTGAACGTCCAATCCAACACAGAGCTGGAAACCATGACATCGTGGAAAGTTATTGACCATACAAATGAGGTTAAGCTTGTTTGCCTACCTCCCCTTCCCCTGCATTTTGTACAGTGTGTTTTGCACAAATGGGGAGCTGAACCAACACTCAGCCCTGTGGATACCATGGGAAGTAAACTGCATTTGGAAATAGGAGCCCTGAGTGTAAGTCCCACGGCTGATTTTCCCCAGTCCTATGACCTTGGGCATGTCATGCTGGATGACCTCCACCTCACCTCCACCACTCAGCCTCTCTCTTTCCATTTGCAGATTGACTGACACTGTCATCTGTTGGCTAATGTCAGTTCTCCCGAGTTAGCACAAATGTCACTAACCCATGTCCTGGTCTTGTTCTTCTTCAAATGTCACACTTCATCCAGAGTCCAATCGTGTTTCTTACATAAGCCACATCATTTCTCTCCTCCACTTAAAACTTTCCCACAGACAAGCATGTTCAGAGTCCGGACTCACTGATGTGAATTGATGATCCAGCTTTTCCCTGTCCTCCAGGTCAACCCTAACCTCAGCAACGCCTTAGCAGATGCTGTTCCCTTTGCCTGAAGGTCTTTTCCACATCTCGTTTGACTTCCTCCTACTCATTCTTTGAGTCTCAGCTTACACATCAATTCCTTTAGAAGCTAGCTTTCAACATCCCTCCTGGGTACCCACAGCACAATGCACTTCCCCCTCCACCTATCGTCCCTTTGTTTGGGCACTTTCTTCTCTCTCAGACAGTCCCTAAAGGGGGCATGGTGCCTTGCACATCACTATATCCTCAGTCACTTAGCACACTGCCTGGAGCTGATGAATGATTGAAAGGTCATAGGATACATTCATACAGGAACCCATCTCATTGTACCTCCTTTCTCCAACCCCCTAATTCCCTGCATTGTCAGATTGCATGACCAAGCCCTATTGATCACTGCTTCTCATTTTTATGGCCACCACAATTTCTCCTCCAAATTCCAGTGGCTTTTGGTGGTCTTTTACTCCATTGGTCTCTGAAGATAAAAGTGCAAGAATCAGATGTGACAATTGATGACCAAATTCCAAGTCCTTCAGTAGAAAAAGTTAACAGACTGGCCACCTGGGTGGCTAAGGCAGTTAAACGTCTGCCTTCAGCTCAGGTCATGATATCAGGGTCCTGGGATCAAGCCCCTGCACCAGGCTCCCTGTTCAGTGGGGAGCCTGCTTCTCCCTCTGCCCCTCTCCCCACTCGTGATCTTTCTCCCTCTCTCTCTCTGTCTTTCTCCCTTTCTCTCTTGCAAAAACAAATAAACAAACTAAAAAAAAAAAGGTTAACAGACTACAAAATGCTGCTTACATACTAACTCCAAAAGTTACACTCAGCAAGGAAGACCAAATAAGATGGAAGTCCACACACAAAAAAACCAAAATATGGAAATTCATATACATAATCAGCCAGACACCACTCTGCTTCTGCTCCACACATGACAACAGGAAAAAATATCTTGATGTATACACACTCTTACCCAACCTCAGTTTCCAGATAGTCTATCTTTAGGGATTTATTCTTTTGGGTTAAGCCAGATATGGCAAATACATGGCACATATCTGCTACTTTCCATTTTTACACTATCAGCAGATATTGCTAAAGGAAGACAAAACTCTTTTCTCGTATCAGAATCTTTCTCAACACTGTGCTCCAGATATCAACCACCAGTAGGTTCCCAACTATCACCTACTCTCTGAAAGTATCCTTGGTAAAAATGCAGAGGCCCAGACTGGAGAACATGTTAGATCACTGGAGTCTTGGGGTAGATTTATGGAGCAAGTACTTTCTTTCTTCTAGAGAGGAGAAGCAAGAAAGATTTGGGACATTCAGGGAAGGAGAGGTGCAGAAGGGTGGGAGGTGACTACATAGCAGAAGGAGAAAAGGCAAGGGAAGAACCATCAACGGAGTTCCGGGCACAAAGCTTAGGAGTTCTGAAATAAAGGATGGCAAAAGCCAATTAAACAGGCACTGGGAGAGCCCAAGTCCCTTGGATTATGTTCTCTTTCTGGCTTCCATCTCTAGCAGAGCCCTCTACTGAGTTCAACTTTCCCTGAATAGGGAGGAATTGGGGGATGACCCAGATTCTCCGATGGGAACAGCTGATGCAGTCTAGGCTAGAGAAGGAGCACCCTGATTAGCTTCTGCCAAGATGTATTATGCTTGGCAGGCCCCTATCTATAGAGCAAGAGCATGGTAGTAGATGAGGAGGTGACAGAATGGAAAAGGGGGTTTCCAATCACTGCGTGGAATGCCAAGGGTTTTCCCTTGATTACAGACCACTGAGCAGCCCTTCTGAGTCTTGCTGTCACCAGGTGGTTGAATAACAAAAATTAGGCCAGCTCCTTGAATTACCTCTCATGCCTCCAACAAGGCTGTTGTGCAAGTCTCCGGGCAGTTGCCCAAATGCCCTATTAGAGCTCTAGGGCCAGATGTTGATGCAAATGAGCCCATAAAAAACAGGCAACGGGAATGGGCCAAACGGAGCATGTTCCTTTTTAGATGGAATATATTTGGATAATATATTTTGGAATATATTTGGATGCTTCAGATCATTCAGCCATCCAAACATTTTACTGTTTTTTTTCTTTTTTTAAATTTTTCCCATTTTATTTTTTTAACTTAAGTTCAATGAATTAACATAGAGTGTATTATTAGTATCAGGGGTACAGTTCAGTGATTTCTAAGTTGCATACAACACTCAGTGTTCATCACATCACGTGCCCTCCTTCATGTCCTTCACCCAATTACCCCATCCTTCCACCAACCTCCCCTCCAGCAACCCTCCATTTGTTTTCTGGAGTTAAGAGTCTCTTATGGTTTGTCTCCCTTTCTGGTTTTGTCTTGTTTTATTTTTCCCTCCCTTCCCCTATGATCTGCTCGTTGTTTTGTTCCTTATAGTCCACATATGAGTGAGATCATATGATAATTGTCTTCCTCTGATTGACTTATTTTGCTTAGCATAATACTCTCTAGTTCCAACCATGTTGTTGCAATTGGCAAGATTTCATCCTTTTAGATGGCTGCATCATATTCCACTATATATCTTGTACCACATCTTTATCCATTCATCTGTAAAAGGACCTCTGGGCTCTTTCCATAGCTTGGCTATTTGGACATTGCTTCTATAAACATCCAAACATTTTAATTGTAAATGGAACCAATGGTCAATACTTTCTTGGGGAAACTAATAAGTGTAGCTTTGCAATGATGACTTCTTCCTGAGAGGGAGCAAGGAATGCGTGACTTGCCTGTGCATGCACACCTGTGTTCTCTTGGGCACATGATGCTTCCATGGCATCAATATCAAACAATACTCAGTCATTAAGCATCTGCCTTTGGCTCAGGTCATGATCCCAGGGTCCTGGGATCAAGCCCCTTGTTGGGCTCTCTGTTCAGCGGGAAGTCTGCTTCTCCCTCTCCCACTCCCCCCTGCTTGTGTTCCTTCTCTGTCTCTCTCCCTGTCAAATAAATTCTTCAACAACAACAACAACAACAACAACAAAAACATCAAACAATAAGAATCTCTCCTACCTAAAAATTTAGTGATGGTTAAATCCCTGTTAACCCAAGATAAAGGCATTCCTACAAAACAGTATACTCCTTCTGGAGTACCTCACCATCCTGAAGGAAAAAGCCTAAGTAGATTTTCTCTCTGCGATTCTTACCTGCTGATGTACACAAGACTAGCGAGAGCCAACAAGGTGAGACCTTTCTTCTTCCGTGGATAGCAGTGCGGCCCGAGGAAGACTTCCACCAGTGCAAAGGGCAGGATGGATGTGTGCTGAAGGACAGAAAATGAAAAACCATAATGTCAGGTTGCCCCCGCTGCCTGCCATGCCCCTAATTCTCTCTTTCCTCTCCAGTCTACCTTTTTAGGCAACTGCCAGATGAGATGTCCCCTAACTTGGCTTAGATCGTGCTCTGTAGATGCTTTGGGGCCTGCTGTGACTCCCTATTGCCTTCTGTGATGGCCCAGACTCCTTTGTCTGGCCACCAAGGGTCTCAGTAATGTGCTACCCTCTCCCTCCTGCTTACTGTCCTCCTCCCCCCGCCCCAGGTGCGCACCCTAACCCACACTTCCACACCCACTCCTCCCCTAGAACACGGCTGTTTCCTTCACCTTTCCTTCACCCCGCTTTGTACTCAGTGTGCTTGCTCCCGTCCTCCCACTTTTGTTCGTCCCTTCCGCGCTCTGTGGAATGTCTTCTCTCCCTACATTCGAATCATTCGTGTTCTCCGCGGCCAACGCAATCTTCCACGGCGCTGTCCCTGCATTTTCCTCCTGCTAATTTCTCTCACTCAGTCCGACTGCCTTTCTATCCTGTGCCATGTCATCTAGCACTTAGGAGGTGTAGCTGGAAGATCTGGGGGTGGGGTGAGCGGAGAACGCTGCTTACTGGGAACACCGAACAGTGTATTTTTCAGATTTTGCTTTTGCAGCTATGATTCCTCTTTCATCCAAGCCCCTCATTTCCTCAGCATTTGGCAGCCCTCTTGCTTCTCTAGCCTTTACCTGTGAACTACATCCCATTCCCACTCCTGAGCCCCAAGACAGCGGGGTCAGCACCTCCGTTAGGGTAATCGCTGGGGCTTAGAAATGTCACAGAGCCCGTGTCACCATGCTCACGTACTCAGTTCTGTGGCTGGGACCCTGGGGTGGCCTTTGCTATCAGTCATGTCAGTGTTGTGCTCAGAGGCATCCCCAGGGGGCCACAGTTTCTCATTTGAACCTGAACTAGTGACGGGATAGTCAGGAGATCAAGACGCTTGGATGACAAGAAATGTGGCAAGTTTTTATCGGGCAGCGGTGGAATGAGAAGGAATCAGTCTTAATAATAGGGCATTGCATGGCAGAGAGGGCCTCCTGGGGCCCCAACAGGGCTGCAGGTGGGTGGCAAAAAGCAATGAGGCTTCCTATGGGCCCCAGTACCCACATTTTAGCAGCAAAGCTTAGAACAACAACATTGCAGACACACCATGGTTTCTTTTTTTTTTTTTTTTTAAAGATTTTATTTATTTATTTGACAGAGAGATCACAAGCAGGCAGAGAGAGAGGAGGAAGCAGGCAGAGAGAGAGGAGGAAGCAGGCTCCCCTAGAGAGCAGAGAGCCTGATGCGGGGCTCGATCCCAGGACTCTGAGATCACGACCTGAGCCGAAGGCAGCGGCTTAACCCACTGAGCCACCCAGGCGCCCCCACACCATGGTTTCTATAGGCTTTGTCCAGGATTGGTCCCGAACATACTGACAGGTTGCATATACAAGTGACAAGACATTTGGGCCAACTGTCACATCCTGCACCTCTCTTTGGTCTGATTTGAGGCTACAGCTTCTGCGTCTCTCCCTCTAATAAAGGAGCATAGTTATTAAGAGAACGCACTTTCTGATCTGACGTTGGACTAGTTACTGAATCTGTTTGAACTTCAATTTCCTGTTATCAAATAGGGAATAGTCCACATGTCACAGAGAGGACGGCTCTGAGGATTGAGATTAGAGCATAGAAAGGGCTTCGTCCTTGGGCCCTGAGAGGCGCCCGTGAGCATTATCTGTGATTGCCACAATTATCACTGTGATTGTCGTCCTTCAGCTCATCAGTGGCCCATGGGGAGCAGGGTGAAGCGAGGTTCTAGGAAGCCCACAGTGCCAGGCGCTTGGATGCAGGCAGGCAAACAGCTGGAGCATGGCCGCAGAGCCTCCCCTTGGCCGCCCCGTGGCTCCCTCCCCAGCCCACAGCTGCTGCCCACGCTCCCAGCCACTCCCAGCTGCGCTGCCTCAGAGCCCTGGCAACGCCGGGCGACTGACATCCATGCTCTTTTCACCCAGAGGCTACCTCAGGAGGCGAGTGATGGGGCCGTCTCCCCAGCACGGCCCCCTGCCTCTCCTCCTGCCTTCACTCTGCCACAATCAGGAAGATCCAACTTCTATTAGAAGGCATTAACAGTCCCATTATCCTGGCCATTGATCTGACAGATTTTATTAAGCCTGCCCATAGTCAGCAGCTTCAGCTCTCTACATTAATGATCACGGGGAACAGAATTCCTGTGGAATAATGTAGAGCGTTCACATTAGGAGCAAATGAGTTCAGAGTGATTAATGCTTTTACAACAAATAACTCAGGAATGCATGACTGGTCACCTCCTCTAGAAGCCTGCCCTTTGCAAGTGACATTCAATTGGATTTCCAAATGAATTCTCACTGATGACTTCTGGGAAGTTTACTCCAGTGATGTCATTAGTGACGGGCCATATACTGTGGCTTAATACCAGCTAAAAGGTCTTTAAAAGAATCACAGTTTTTCGTCGGGGCTGGGAGGAGGAGGAGGACCACAGTCTGTGAACTTTCTGAACATCGGGCTAGTGTAAGGAGCCAAGCGTAACACCTTAAACCTCCTGGTATTTCGAAAGTACTGGTATTTTACCTCGTGCTCATATCAATTGTATAACCTTTGTCAGGCAGCACATATTTAAAAAAAAAAAAAGAAGAAAAAAGTCAGTAAGAGAAAAATCAAATATGCTTTCCGCTTCCAAAAAATCTAATAATTAGGCTGGGATTGACACAAATTAGAATGCTGCCAAAAATTACTGAAAACAGTGACTCATTCTGTATTTCAATTAACAGTTTCTCAGTTTCCTTTATAAACAGTGAAGCTGACAAAAATTAATTATCTCAGAGGGGGTAAAATATTTCCTTCCAGAGTAAACAAAACATCACGGGCTGAAACAATAGTATGTGTGAACAGAGACGATGGAATCAAATTATCTTTCCTTGTCAATTAGCCATCATTTGGGGAAATTCTCCTTTAAATATCTCATTCCAGATGCATTGGTTAAAAGGACAGTGTTGCTCTTTTCCCATCCTTTTCTACTAAATCCTGCCTTCTCCTCCTGTCCTTGGTGCAATGCCTACTTCCATGTGACTATCTTGGAGATGGAACGCTGAGCATGAAGAAGTGATTTAGGTTAGTGTAGAAATGCGCTTTAAATTCCCTGGTTGCAAAATAGCCTTGTACGTAAGTACTGAAACTTACCAGCCCGCAGGGCATTCTTAGGGGGTCACGTGAGTGTGACGCATAACATAGTGAACACTTATTCTTCCTCGCCTCATGCCAGTGAGCCCATAGCTGTTACAACAGCTTCCCTGGTTTGAGGCTAAATGTACCACAGAATGCTTTTGCTTGAATCTTGGGAGAGAGGCAAGCCTTAATCCCTGAGATAATCCATGGAGCCAACAGTGTTTCATCACTGTCATGTAGGTTCCAAAGACTAAATCCATAAGACTAGGATGGTCACACTCTTATCTCTAAGATCCTTGGGGAGCCAAGAGCACTTAATTTCCTCCAGTGAAGGAAATTCAGGGAACCTCTACATTGTTTTAAAAAATCAGATAATAAGATTTAAAAATATGATCTCTGCCTCTTTCCTCGATTTCATTTCCTTTTCAGACTAGCCCTTGTGTTGATTTGAGTTGACCAAGAGAAACGAGCCGGCCTCGACCTTCTCGGACTGGTCATGGAGCAACTTTCTCCTTGAGATGCTGTTTCTCATAATGAGCTTACATAATATTGCCCGCATTGTGTTTGGTCTCAAATTTCGCCTCCCTCCCTCGTTCAGGCAATGCTTACATCTGAGAATCAGTTCCTCACACTGATGCTTTCCAACCCGAGGTCCTTTTCCCCAAGTCTCTAAGACAATATTTTTGGTTTACTTATGGTGCTAATGGATAGATATTTTAAAATAAAATTTTATTACACTGGCAAGATCTAATTTCTGAGGACATGAAGGATATTTTTTTACTCACCATACATGGAATATAACACTTTTTATGTATGACAAAAACGAAAGTCTTTACACAATCTCTTCAGCGGCAAACACATGGCCAAGACATCAATTAAAACATAAATGTAAATACAACAGACACGGAAAGGGTGGCAAAACAAACCTTAATAGAATGCTATTATACTCAGGCTTGTTAATACACTGCTCGATCACGTTCCTTAAGCTCAAAAACTACATGTGGTAAAAACACGCAGTAATAATTATTTTGTAAATCCCAACAAGACCGTCTCTGATTTCAGTAACCACCATTCATTTGCCAGCTAAAAACTTGTACCTCATTCTTCACCACTGTAGTTTCTGCCTCTAAAACCCACAGGTTGGGACAACAGTGAAGGTCTTCCTAGGAATATTTTATATCCAAAAGCAGAAGCCATCTGTACTCTCTAAGATCTCTGTGTTGTTACAGTTACAATTTTGCTTTAAGTCCATCCGATACATGGGAATCCAGAAATGTAGACGTAGGCTATATTGTTTATACATCTGGGGACAACTTTTTTATTTTTCTATAAATTTTTTCCACCTATATTACCTATACTATTCTTTTTGGCCTCAAGTACCAGAGTTTAAAAGATACTGTGATTGGATTGGTAAAAATTCCCTTTTCTACTTTCTTGAAACTCGAGAGCATAAGCTAGGCACCACTATAATTAAAGAGCCAATGTTTATAAATGCCTGGGGAGGGGGATTGGGAAGATAACCCACCCACAGAAAGAGCCACAATCTTCCCTTTGATCTTTACAGTCTACCTAGGTGGGCTGACAACAGCCCAGCTTGGTAAAAATTCAGAAAACGTAAGTTAAAAACTGAAAGTCTTATTTACCACGGAAGAGTAGGACTTTTTGCAATTTACTCTGAAATATGTCAAAAATAAGATGAGTTGATGGATGGGTAGATGCACAGATCCGAGATAAAGCGAATTCAGTTAACTATGAGGAGTAGGATCTAAGT